CTAGTCTGAATTAATATAAAATATCAATAATGCTCTCAGAGCTGCTTAATAAAGGAAAATAATGGTTGAAATACCTTTGTAGGAGGATTCCAGATCAGGTTCCGAGCGAGCGTCAGGTTGCTGCATTGAGGTTCTAGAAGCAGATCCGAATGAACGTTCACTAGCTGGTAGTTGTTCCAATTCGTCGTGACACACATTAGGTGTAGGAACAAGAGAAGCAGCCGTGGGTGTCAATTGAGACTGGATAGCTTTCTTTGGAATGTTCGGTGAGTTGAAGGTAAGCTCAACAAGCGAATCAGGATTTAGCACACCCAAAGCGAGATTACCTCTCCGACTACGCAGTCTCGGTCGACTCGGTTTGAGAAAATTCGAGCCCATCTGATCTCCATTCGCAGACCGTTTGCTATTAGACATAAGCTTCATCGATATGGAAAAGTCATGTGAATCCTCAATTATAGGCACATCCGATGGGTTAGGATAGTCAATACCCTTTCGAAATCCTAGAATACAGGCATATGTGAAAAATTACATAATTTTGTTATTTATTTTTTACTACATTGTATCAGGCTTTGTTTGTATTTTCCTAAATCATTTTTGGGAATCTTTCTTAAGATGGCACTCCTTTTTATTTAAGTCTCCTTTGTTTACCTTGAAAGTCATTCAACCTAAATTACATTTCAGCGCTTTAAATGCATATCCTCTTTTAACCTATTTTCTGTTTCTTTGCTTTTTGCATATCTACCCATGTGTTCCTTTGCGCTACATGATTATATCAAGGGATCAAATTAGTTGCTGTTAGTGTACCAGATGTAGTGGAGTTGTAATTTGGCCTTACAAAAGAACGAAAGAAAATTACATTGTAGTCATGACAGGCATGCGATATATCGCAGGAGCCAGAGATGCCTGAAATGGATATAAAGCTCACTGAGGTGACAGGACGATAAAAGGACTTGTTCGCACAATTCCAAGGCAATCCTCCTTTGGTTTCCTGCGAAGTAACTTTATAGTCCCAACCAATTTCACATACGAAACAAAAAATTTGCCAACATTAATCTCTTAGAGGTTGTTTGACCTTGTTTTCGCAACATGGTCATATTGATAGGAAGACTTAGAGGAACGCACCTAGTCCGGGGTCCATTGTCTGCATGATCATTTCCAAAGTTGAACCATGGACGTGGTACATTCCCAAACGTTTCACCGGCATCGTCAGTGAGTATCGAAATTCTTAGCACCACACAACAACTCGTCAAAAAGACAAGTGAAGTCGATCCTTTGACCAAACTTGTGCTGAACAATTGTGGCATCTCTTCTGCCCTGGGTTATTCGCATTTTCGGTATCATCCTATCATGTCTTCACTATTACAATTTTTATCGTGTTAATTTAGATAGTGTGGTGTGCTCCTTTGAGCGACATGATACCTTCACACTCCAACTGTTGTTCTCGCCCCCCACCCCCCTTCATCCTTGTGCAGGGAATGTTGATCAGTATGCTTTATTATCATTATGCAGTCCTCTTCCCT